AAGGAGGAGAAAGAAGAAGAAGAAGAAGAAGAAGAAGAAGAAGAAGAAGAAGAAGAAGAAGAAGAAGAAGAAGAAGAAGAAGAAGAAGAAGAAGAAGAAGAAGAAGAAGAAGAAGAAGAAGAAGTTGGAAGGGACCTTGGAGGTGATCTAGCCCAACCCCCTGCTCAGGCAGGAAACCCTACACCATTTCAGACAAATGGCTGTCCAGTCTCTTCTTAAAAACTTCCTGTGTTGGAGCATTCACAACTTCTGGAGGCAAGCAGTTCCCCTGGTTAACTGTCCCACTCTATCCCTTACTACACCACTATTCCAATTCTGGCCCAGGAATTTCTCCCGTGGGACGCGGAAGAGACCAGCCCACCACCACGCCAGCCCCTGGCCACGAGAAAAACCAACTCACAAATACCTCCAGAAGAACGGCCAATTCCCAAGCTCCCTGAAAACAAAGCAGAAAACCAGAAGCCTCTTTTTAAATTATTATTATTATTTCCCGTAGGGGAGGAAACCATCCCAGGACACCTGCGAGGGGGGTCTCGAAACCGCATTTTACCTGATCTGATGGGACGGCTGCCTCTTCCCCCGCCGTGGCAAGGAGCGCCTTGCTCCGGTTAAGATCGGAGGCGTCCACTTTGATGAGACGGTGCTTGGGCGACCCATATTTTCCCTCCAGGTTGCCACTGCAGCCGCCCCCCTTGTTCGGCGAGCCCCCGGGATCTGGATCGGCTTTGCCTTCCCCGTCCTCGTAGGGGTCCTCGAAATCTAGGCTCTTCTGGGCGCGATACGCCTTTAAGATGTCGCTCTCGGTGTAATCTGGCTTGGGGGGCTGCGGGGGAGACCTCCTGCTCCCGAAACTGAGATAATCCTTAAACCATTTGGCCATGGGTCCCCCTTTAAGCCGAGGTCGGTGGCGGCCGGGCCCCCAATTTCCCGCGACGACGAACAAGCCAACTAGGATCGGAAGGCGCTCTTCTAATCCTCCCTTAGATCATCCGTGTGGATTGGGGTTTTTAATCCGGATTAGCTGCTCTCCATCGCTGCTCCTGATGTGAAGGAGGAAAGGGAAGCGGAGTGGGTTATTTCACCCAGTATACCGGAGGCAATCCTCGACTTACGACGGTTGGTTTAGTGAACGTTCCAAGTTACGACGGTACTGAATAAATGACTTACGACTGTTTTCCACACTTACGACCGTTTGCAGCATTCTCAGGGTCACGTGATCAAAATTCAGACGCTGGGCCACTGACTCGTACTTACGACGGTCGCAGGGTCCCAGGCTCATGTGATCCCCTTTTGCGACCTCCTGACAAGCTGAGTCAATGGGGAGGGGGGAGCCAGATTCACTTAACAACCTTGTTACTAAACACAACTGCAATAATAATAATAATAATAATAATAATAATAATAATAATAATAATAATAATAATAATAATAATAATGTCGGAAGGGACTTGACAGGTAGACAAAAATGCCAAATCCAGTCTGAACATCTGGCTGACTGTGTGATGATCAATAGTAATAATGATGATGATGATGATGATGATGATGATGATGATGATGAGGCAGGTTGTTCCACTGGTTAATTGTTCTCATTATCAGGAAGTTTCTCCTTAGTTCCAGGTTGCTTCTCTCCTTGATTAGTTTCCATCCGTTGCTCCTTGTCCTGCCTTTAGATACTGGAACACGGCTATCATGTCCCCCCTCGTCCTTCTCTTTGTTAAACTAGACATACCCAATTCCAGCAACCGTTCCTTATATGTTTTAGCCTCCAGTCCTCTAATTATCTTTGTTGCTCTTCTCTGCACTCTTTCCAGAGTCTCAGCATCTTTTTTACATCGTGGTGACCAAAACTGGATGCAGTTTTGTGATTCACTTCACAACTGTGGCAAGAAAGGTCGTAAAATGGGGCGACAACACTCACTTCACCGTCTCCCTTAGCGATGGACATTTTGGGCTTGTCTGCCGTCGTAAGTCGAGGACTATCTCTAATATATCCGGAATTGTACAGTGGGTTTTTTTCCCCACTCTCCAGTAACCGAAGCTTACATTTCATGGAAGAAATTGCTCATAGTTGGCAGGCAGGAATCACATTTCGCTGAAGCCGGAGAACTGTGATTTAAGCAAACTTGACAAAAGTGAATTTAGGCAAAACTATTCATTTTGCCCTTCTTTGCCTGATCTAGTCTTCAATATAAAATAGCAACTTTTGGCCTACCTTTCCAAATAGTTGTAGAGAACATTGCCATAAGTTGCCCTTTCAGGGGTCTTTTTGCACTGAGAAGATATTTGCACAGATGGAAAATATATATCTAAGACTGAGTAAGGATTTGGAGGGGTTTTTTTTTCCCCTTCGAACTTCTACAGAACAATACACGAAACCAGATTTTGCTTTAAACTGTCCAACCTATCCAGTTTGGGCAATATCAGTCTGCAAATATTGTGGGCCAGTTGTTTTATATTTTATTTTATTTCTCAAATCGAGGCTACCAAATCTTACAAGAGGAACTCTGGAGACTGCACCAAAAAAAAAAGGCATTTATTATTTCAATTCCAGAAAGCTACTTTCTCATAGTGTGAAGACAAATATGTGGCCTACCTCGCTGGGTTGTTAATATGCTTATCAATAAACATTTTCCATGGTATATCGTAAGAAAAGGACTAGGGGGGTGACAGGATAGCAGTCTTCCAATATTTGGGGGGCTGCCCCAAAGAAGAGGGGGTCAAGCTGTTTTCCAAAGCGCCTGAAGGCAGGACAAGAAGCAACGGATGGAAACTAATCAAGGAGAGAAGCAACCTAGAATATAAGGAGAAACTTCCTGACAGTGAGAACAATTAATCAGTGGAACAACCTGCCTCCAGAAGCTGTGAATGCTGGAAGTTTTTAAGAAGAGGCTGGACAACCATTTGTCTGGAATGGTATATTTCCTGCCTGAGCAGGGGGTTGGACTAGATGACCCCCAAGGTCCCTTCAGATACTCTCTATTCTGTATGCCATTATTGTGTTGATTCATCCAACAGAAATTATCTTTAGACTGGTCATTCTCTGGATGATTCAGAGTCTAACCAAGGACAGTTACTGTTGTTGTTATTATTATTGCTATTTTTATTAACACTAATAATAATAATAATAATTAAAAGCCTGCCTTGGCTTGCGTCATTCATAGTGTTTCCCCCCCCCCCATGGAAACAGCTGGGCTCTTAAGACTTTATTCTGTCCTAAACGGCACAGATTATGAGAAAAACTTAAGCATTAAACCAATTCTTTATAACCCCACTGTCCCTATCCCGAACAAAATATTAAATTGCATTTTGGTAGCCTCTGTTTTTGGCGACGTTTCCCCCCCCCCCCCATTCCCAGCTCCCTTTTAAAGGGTCCTGGGATTTGGTAAAGTGGGGATATTTACTTTCAAGTTTTCCGTGGAAATCCGTCTGGCTAAGCCATGAAAGTTCAACACACAAAGCTTAGGGGGGGGGAAGCAAAATCTTCAAAAGATGCTATTCTTACCCAAATATCTACCTGATGTCATCCTCCTGCTGAACATGGCAAGGCTCACATCACAGTTGTTAAAAAAAAAAAAGTGCCAGTTGAAATTCAACATAAGGTCATAAAGACTGCCCAGACTTTTTCAGATTCGGATCAAAAGATAATTTTGTTCTTTCCTGCCAATCTAAGCTACCCCACCTCAAAAAGACCTTCCTTTTTTAAAAAAAAAAATTAGTGCCAACCTTGCCAATGGTTTGAATTGTGAACCGGAGAGGAAAAACACTTTAAAAAAAAGCCGTTTCAGAAAAGGGAAGGGAAGGGAAGGGAAAGGGAAAGGAAGTAAATAGATAAGGAAAGGAAAGGAAAGGAAGTAAATAGATGGGAAAAGGAAGGGAGGGAAAGGGAAGGAAAGGAAAGGAAGTAGATGAGGAAGGGAAGGGAAAGGAAAGGAAAGAAAAGAGGAAAGGAAAGGAAATGAAGTAAATAAATGGAGAAGGAAAGGGAAGGGAAAGGAAGGGAAAGAGGAAGGGAAAGGAAAATAAAGGAAAGGGAAGTAAAGGAAGTAAATAGATTGTGAAGGAAAAGAAAGGAAAGGAAAGGAAGTAAATAGATGAGGAAGGGAAGGGAAGGGAAAGGAAAGGAAAGGAAAGGAAAGAGGAAGGGAAAGGAAAGGAAAGGAAGTAAATAAATGGAGAAGGAAAAGGAAGGGAAAGGAAGGGAAAGAGGAAGGGAAAGGAAAAGAAAGGAAAGGAAAGGAAAGGAAGTAAATAGATGGGGAAGGAAAGGGAAGGGAAAGGAAGGGAAAGAGGAAGGGAAAGGAAAATAAAGGAAAGGGAAGTAAATAGATTGTGAAGGAAAAGAAAGGAAAGGAAAGGAAGTAAATAGATGGGGAAGGGAAGGGAAAGGAAAGGAAAGGAAAGGAAAGAGGAAGGGAAAGGAAAGGAAAGGAAGTAAATAAATGGAGAAGGAAAAGGAAGGGAAAGGAAGGGAAAGAGGAAGGGAAAGGAAAAGAAAGGAAAGGAAAGGAAAGGAAAGGAAGTAAATAGATGGGAAAGGGAAGGGAGGGAAAGGGAAGGAAAAGGAAAGGAAGTGAAGGGAAAGGAAGGAAAGGAAAGGAAAGGAAAAAAGGAAAGGAAGTAAATAGATGGGGAAGGAAAGGGAAGGGAAAGGAAAAGAAAGGAAAAGAAGTAAATAGATTGTGAAGGAAAAGAAAGGAAAGGAAAGGAAGTAAATAAATGGCGAAGGAAAGGGAAGGGAAAGGAAGGGAAAGAGGAAGGGAAAGGAAAATAAAGGAAAGGAAAGGAAAGGAAAGGAAAGGAAAAGGAAAGGAAAATTACGGCGGGAAGAGAAGGGAAGGCAGAAAAAAAAATTCCATTTACCGGGCGTCTCCTGCCAGGATCCGAAGGAAATTCAGCGGGAACCTCAGAGGATAAAATCCAGATTTAATCCAGGAAAGCTCAGCGCCTCGCCTGCCCTCCGTCGCCTTTCCCGAAGCGGGGCTCCGCTCATTTCCATCCGCTCCTTGCGAATCCTTCTCCGATGGCTGATTTTAGATATATATATAGATATATATATATAAAACCTCCCTTCCGCGGCGGTTATAAAGTTCAGCCTTGGCTCTTCTGCGGGGCTGTTTTACAACGAAACGATCCGCTCAGGGGCTTCAAAGGACAAATCTCTTCCCCCCCCCCTTTATTCCCCCCCCCTTTGTTTGCAACTGATCGCTCGATACAAATTCGGGCAATTANCTGGCTCTCTTTGAAAAGAAGATTCGAAAAGCTGAAAGGGGGAAAAACTTTCACTGCCCGGGGGGGGGGGGAGGAGGGAGGGAAAGGGGGGAGGAGGGGAGGAAGGCGTCCCCTTCTCTCCTCCTCCCTTCTTCTTTCGCCCTCCTCCCCTTCAAAAATCGGGGGGGTGGGGGTGGTGGAAACAAGCCCTGGCTTCCTTTTTGGAGGAAGGGTCCCTGCGGCTTTCCTTGCCCCTTCCTCCCGGCTCAATCGATGCAATTCAGCAGGAACGTTTTGCAAAAGGGGAACCGTTTGCGGCCTGCCCCCCCCCCGCACCTTCCCCCCCCCCCAAGCTCCTTTCCCGGGGTTGCAAAAACGCGAAACGTCGCCGGGACCTTTTTCCTGTAAACAGCCTGGATGTGTGTGTGTGTGTGTGTTGGGGGGCGAGAGAGAGGGGGGGGAGAGAAGGGGAGGAGAGAGAGACAGAGAGAAAGAGAGAGAGAGGAGAGAGAAAGACAGGCAGACAGAAAGAGAGAGAGAGAGAGAAGAAAGACAGAAAGAGAGAGTGAAAGAGAGACAGAGAAACAGAGATAGAGAGAGAGAGAGAGAAGAGAGAGAGAAAGAGAGAGAGAGAGAAGATAGAGAGAAGAGAGACAGAGAGAGACAGACAGA